AAAAAAAAAAAAAAAAAAAAGTCCTACAAAAAGTGAAAACTAGGTCAAATTACAAAGAATGAATATAAAAAAACAACACGAGCATGTAGGGACAAAACTGGAAAGGCCAAGGCACAAAACTAAATTAAACTAGCGAGGGACATAAAGGGTAACAAGAAAACATTCTACAAATACATTAGAAGCAAGAGAAAGACCAAGGACAGAATAGGCCCATTACTCAATGGGGGGTGGGGGGAGAAAGACAATACAGACTCTCCCCGGGTTACACAAGACCCGACTTACGCAAATTTGCACATACAGAAAGAGTTCCATAAGCCAGAAATAGGATTTTCTAGTTGGGGAAATTTTTGCATAACGTACGGGTATACGTTTCTGGCCTCCCCAAGTTCGAGTTACGCAAGGCTTTCCAGAACAGAACGATTGCGTAAGTCAGGGGGGGGTGTCTGTAGCAGAAAATGTGGTAATGGCAGGAGTGCTAAATGCCTTTTTTTGTTTCAGTTTTCACCAGTAAGGTTAGTAGTGATCAAACATCTAACAGAATGAATGCCAGTGATGATGAGGTAGGATCTGAAGCTAAAATAGGGGAAAAAACAAGTTAAAAAGCACTTACACAAGTTAGATGTCTTCAGAACAGCAGGGCCTCAGAAAATACATCCTAGAATACTCAAGGAGCTGACTTAGGAGATATCTGAGCCATTAGCGATTATCTTTGAAAACTCATAGAAGATGGGAGAGATTCCAGTCGACTGGAAGTGAGCAAATATAGTGCCTATCTATAAAAAGGGGAGTAAGGACAACCCAGGGAATTCTTCCACTAGACTCCACATGGATAAGGCCTCAACTGGAGTATTGTGTCCAGTTCTGGGCGCCACATATCAAGAAAGATGTGGACCAATTGGAGGAAGTCCAGAGGAGAGCAACAAAAGTGATTAAAGGGCTAGAAAACATGACCTATGAGGGAAGATTGGAGAAAATGTGTTTGTTTCGTCTGGACAAGAGAAGACTGAGGGGGGACATGATAACAGTTTTCAAGTACATCAAAGATTGTTACAAGGAAGAGGGTGAAAAATTGTTCTCCTTAACCTCTGGGGATAGGACAAGAAGCAATGGGCTTAAATTGCAGTAAGGGAGGTTAGGTTGGACGTTAGGAAAAACTTCCTGGCAGGGTGGTTAAGCACTGGAATAAATTGCCTCGGAACAGAGGCGTAGCGAGCGCTCTCCGTACCCTCCGACCGGAGGGGGCCCCGCAAGGAAGGGGGCCCCTAAAAGTGGCAAAATAAATACCGCATTCCAGTTTCTGCATTGTAAGGGGCCCCGCCTGGACATATATTCGGAGGGGGCCACCGTTCGGAGGGGGCCACGTTCTTTGTTGCTACGGCCCTGCCTAGGAAGGTTGTGGAATCTCTGTCACTGGAGGCTTTTAAGAGCAGGTTGGACAAACACCTGTCAGGGATGGTCTAGATAATACTTAGTCCTACCTTGAGTGCAGGGGATGG